AGAGTGTAGTTAAGTGTTTTTTAATTTAATGTTTTAAATAAAATATGTAATCAGAAATGCTTTCAAGATCAAGTGACAAATATCAAGAAAAACAAAGGCAAAAAGAATTACTGAGATTCAAAGTAACAAACTTGTAACTTCTCCCAGCCACTCTAGCATATGATGTTAATTTCACCAGGACATCTGCTGTGCTTACCGTGTCTAACATCTCCCGTGTATGTGAAGCCGACACACAAAACCGAGCCCTCGATTCTGTGATAGGAGTAGCTGGAAATCCAACTACAACCACCCCAATATTTTTGTCTAACATGTGCCTGGAAAATGCCCTGAGAGGAGGGAAAGAAGAAAGCAAAAGAGAGTTATCACCAATAAACTGACCACAAAGAGAAAACACTCAAGTGTGAAAAACAATGATTAAAAAATCCTGGCCCTATTGAAGCCAAAAGGGAGTTTTATCATCAGCTCTGCATCGCCTTGCAGCTTGTGTAATCATTTTAATCTCTGCAAAGTGACTGTAAAATATTCTCATTAGGAGCAATTTACTACCATTAAGCACAGGTGAAAATGTCTACGTAAACTGCAAGACAGCAAGAAGCAGACCCTATATCAGGCAAAGACTTAGATTAATAAATGGTGATGAATAAAAATTAATGCAATTTATATACAATTTCATTGACTGAGATGCTGAACATAAGGTAGGATGGTCTTGTGGGTGCAGAGACAGGGACTGGGACTTGGGAGGTTTGGATTTAATTCCTGGCTCTGTCCTTGAATGGGCAAGTCATTGAACCTCTGTGTCTCATTTCCCCACCTGTAAATTAGGGAGAACAGCTATCTGCTCAGTGACCTGAGGACAAAATTGCTCATATTTGTGAGGTAAGCAATGCAGAGGGATGCGGATAGATTCATACTTCTATGGACTAAGGGCCTCAACGGCAGCCCATTCTCCCAATCTGTGCAAATTGGTCGAGGAGACGATCATCACAAATACACCGATCCAAAGAAGAAGCAGATGTGAGCTGAGGGGACAGTTATGGAGGGACTCTGACAAACAACTGCATGAGGGAGTTCTAGAGATGGGGTTCCCAGACTGAGAAATCTGTGTTCCTTGGCCTGTCCACATTGAATCTCAGGATGGTAAGTGGAAATATCATGGTTGATGGGAAATGACTTATGAGGGGAAACAAGATGATTCTGCAACTAAGAATCTCTCCCTTTTTCCCTACCACCAAGTCCAGCTATTTTAGCTATGTTTTGGGCTGAGTATTTTCGTCAGCTCCTGATTATAAGACCTGCTTTCTGCCTGTCAGACCATCCTAGCCAGAGGGTTTGAGACATAGTTAAACTTCAGACTCAAAGGATCCTGGTGTAACTGGGGGACAGGGGAGGCAGGCTGCTTGCCTGTCCTGGTATCACAGACAGCACTGTGCCCTAGAAATGGCTGGCAGCAGGCCTGGATCCTAAGCAGGGAGTATGGAGGAAAGCACACAGGATTCCATGCACTGCTGCTGCCCTGACCATTAGCTCTGCACTCCCACTGGCTGGGAACCTGATGCCGGCTGCTTCTGGGGTGCAGCAGGGGCTACAGTGCCAGGAGAGGCAAGAAGCTGCCATAGCACCCCTGCTCAGGAGCCGCTCAAAGTAAGCCCCTCCTGTCAACCCCCAAAGCTAGAGCCCCCTCCTATACCCGAAAGCTCTCATCTTCGGCCCCATTCTGGAGCCCACACCCTAGTCAAATTATATAAGGTCACGGGCATCACCAATTTTCTTCAACTGGGTCATGAGAAAAAGAAATTGAAAACCATTGGTCTAGACATGTCGTATCTTAGCTGGAGAACAACAAAATACTTTTAAAATAATTAGACAATGCCAGGTTTTAAAATGATCACAGCTTTTGCAAGCAGAAAGAGAAGGAAGCATTTTGACATATATTTTAATTCTGTGCTCTCACTTGGTGTATGGAAAAGCTGGCTCAAAATTAAAGTCAAGATTCAATGTAAAGCTACCCATGGCAAGTTCACTGAAAGGAAGAAATTTCTCCCTTGCAACATTTACAAGTGGCCAGATTTCATAGTTTAAAACATACCCCCCCCCCATATAATAGAATGTGCTTTGTTAGCCTAGGAGGCACATTTCAGTACTTACCCTATTTTACCAGGCATATAAAGGAGCAAGGGAACAACAGGGGAATCATCATTTCCATAAATAATGAAACCCATTTCGTGCAGTCTCCGCCTGAAGTATCTTGTATTTTCTCCTAGCTGGCGCACTCTCTGAAGCCCTGAAATGAGACAGTCGTGAAATCAGCCAGCACACAGATCCCAATGGAGCTCCTCTCCAGAAAAAAAAGAAACCAAAACAGGGACAGATCAGTTTCAGAAACGCTAAGCTAGCCATGAGATCTTTATGTAGCTATTTGATCTATAAGAAAAATATTTAGTGACTGACACTGTACAAGCCACATGAATGCAGAGCCACATATGGAACCTATGTAACTATAGTGTAACTCCACTGACTTCTGCTGAATTATGCCTGACCTATAATAGCATGAAGGGAGATTCAAGTCTATTGTATTTAGACATGCAGGCCTACAGACGGGAATATTCTCTGTGTCCTGCTGGACACAGATTAGGGAACAGTTGTCTATAGAGCATATAGTTAAAAAGGACATGCTGGAGGAAATATATTTATTGGTAGCAGTGGTGGTTTGGTTCAACAGAGCTGTAACACTGACAGGTGGAATTGAACCTGGGATCTCTGGAGCTTAGTGCATGAACCTCTGCCAAATGAGCTAAAAGCCAGCTGGCTATAAGGCTATAAGTAGACTCATTCTCTCTGTAAGTGGTCTTGGGGCCACTATATGGTACAGTTACATCTTTCCAGTTCTGTTATTGTTCTTCCCTGATTAATAAACTCCTACTAGATATCGGTGCTGGCAAGATGTGCATATTGCATTCAAAAGAGACGCAGAGATTTTTCTATCATCATAACCTATTTTCACAGGCTCTCGTTCAAGAAAATCTGTTTCCACATGTCCGAGTGGCACCGCAGACACGGAATTCTGGTTCTCATGGGTTGGTACACATACACATGGGTTGGCCAAGAACAGAAGCGTAACTAGTAGCCATGGAAAAATGAAAGAGTTTATCTTACTGCATTTGAGCACTATCCCTCCTGGAAGATGTGTCCAAAGGTAGATGCTGCCCACTGCCTACTTCTATATCACCTTCCCTTACTAGTCCAGAGCTAGTGAACAGTTTCTGGCTAGAGCAAGCAAAGACCAATGAAAGAGAGGCTTGAAAGTCAGCTTTGTATTTTTTTCAACTTTAAAAGAATGGGGAACAGTACTTTTTAAAAATAATACTGAAGTAACCATCCCCCCCCACATGAATCTTGATGTTTTCATCCTCCCAGCTCACAATTAAGTGTAGATATTTGTATGACTAGACAAATAAAAATGGTTTCCAACAGAAAAGATAGAGATTGGTAAAGGGAAAGTGTTTTTTAAAAAGGGCTTCCACATCTTTACTTTGGAATACAGCAAATAAGTCCCACATGGATGCAGTCCCACATGCTTTGTAAGCAAAAAGACTAAAGGAATGCCTGATAGGAAACTGCCGACAAAAGAGCTTAACATGAAACCATTCCAAAAATGTCCCTGTCAGTGGCTAATAGGTATGCAGGAACTGCCAGCCTGGATCAGTTCTTTAAGGTCCATCTAGTTCAGTGTCCTGTCTCCGACAGTGGCCAGCACTATATGCGTTAGAGCCATGTTTTCCATCCAGTGTGCTCCAAGGCCCAAAGAGGAGTTCTGCAGATTTTTTTTTGAACTACAAGTGAGAACAAGGGGTGGGAAAGAGCCACTTTCTGATTAGCCATCTGACTTGTTGCCCCGCCTCCTCCAAGAGTGGAACAACCAATCAGAGCTCAATCTCTCTCCCTTCCCCCCCGTATGAGCTACAAATCAGCTACTCTGTGCCCCTCTTCTTCCCTCCTGCAGCAACTGCTGACTAGGGAAGTGCCCCTGGAGCTGGAGGAGTGTCTTGGCACGGGAAGAGAAAAGGTTGGGAGCCACTGCTTTAGACAAAGTTGTATGAACTGTGCAGTAGGCAGATGTGGGTTAATCTGTCTCCCATGTAAGATAGGAGTCTAGTTTCTAATAGTTAGAGATTGGCTTTTGCACCAGTTTTACTATCCCTTCCACAATTTGCTGCTAGTAATTCTGATCACTCTGGATATTTTGAGACCCACATAAATGTCTAATCCCTTTTTGGATCAACTTCTTGGCCTCTGCAATGTTTGCTTCTGTGAAATGATCCAGGCAGGCTCCAAAGAGAAAGAGCCAGTTCCCTGGCACACTTCCTCCTTTCTCTCCACCCTATGAGAGCACCACAGTGAGTGGATCACTAGCCTGGAAGGGGTAGGCAGGCTTGGAAGCCAGCTGTGCTCAACAGCAATCTCCCCCATTCATAAAGCCACAGGGGAAAGCAACACAAGCTATAGCCGACAGAGACTGTCTTCTGTGCCGCCACTGGGAGAGAAGAGAATTACAGGGCGAGAGGCTGCTTGCCCAAGACTGTTACATAGGCTTACGAGATACGGTCAGAATTCAAGGATGATTTTTGATCACTGTAGATAATATGAAATGATTAAAGGCCCTAAACAATATTTAAGCTATGTTAACTTTCCTCAGTGACATCCAGGGATGTTTGTATTAAAAGAAATTGCATTCATATAAAGCACTTTTACTTGTATCAGTGCGTTGCACAGAAAGCAGCAATACAGATCAAACAAGAGTTTTGTAAGTAATCCATATATTTGAAACATTACTGTGTTGCTTTTATTTAATCTCATGTAGTATAGTCTATTGAAAATGATTTTCTCCTCCTACTGTTTTGATGGCAGCTTGATGCTGAGTGGATTTATAAATAAACCTTGTGAGTAGGTCAAACACAATGGCTACGTCTAGACTGGCATGATTTTCTGCAAATGCTTTTGCGGAAAAGTGTCCGTGCCAATCTAGACGCGGTTTTGCGCAAGAAAGCCCAGATCTCCATTTTCGCCATCGGGGCTTTTTTGCGCAAAACAGTACCATGTTGTCTACACTGGCCCTCTTGCGCAAAAGTATTTGTGCAAGAGGGCTTTTGCCCAAACGGGAGCAGCATAGCATTTCCGCAAGAACACTGACAATCTTACATTAGATCATCAGTGTTCTTCCAGAAATTCAAGCGGCCAGTGTAGACAGCTGGCAAGTTTTTCCGCAAAAGCAGCTGCTTTTCCGGAAAAACTTGCCAGTCTAGACGCAGCCAACATGTAATGCAAGTGTAAGTTACACTAAAGATGTAAGCAATTCCATCCAATTCTAGAATGGCAATACAAGTCACAGAATTATGCATATTGTCCATATCAATTTGGAAAGTAGAATCAGTTCACACCCTGAAGCAAGGGAATTGATAGACCTTGACATTTTTTTAAGCTTAGGCAATGTAACAGATGCTCTTCCAATTTATATAATTGTGTGATCCTCTGCATGCTTCTAAACTACCTTTTTTGTCCCAATCATATCCTGTGGCACTGATTATTCTGAGATAATTATATGCTGAATCAGAAAGTATGTTCTAGTATCTGTTCTAAATCGGTTGCCTTTCAACTAGGAATGTCCATTTGATTTTGTGGAAAGGGGTAAATAGTGTTTAACTTGCCTTTACTATACTATGCTGTCCATAATTTTACAAATCTCCACCTCATGCTCTCATTTTTATTCTTTCCAAACTAAATAATCCCCTCCCTTTTTTTTACACTCACCTTTATGCATCTCTGAGAAATATCCAATCTTTCTGGCTGCTACTTACAAGACCATGGAGCTGACTGGGAGGAGTAGTCTGTACCATTAAATAAATGGTATAGCTGTGTGCTCAGGTACAGTCCTTCCAGAGCTCCCCATGGAACAGTGCATTACCATATCACCCTCAACAGAGACCAGTGGCTTAATGACACATCCCAGCCCCTAATCCTTTCCCACTGTAAATTGTTCATGTTTTAATTCCTACATCTTAACCAGTTTGTAGTGCACAATGTCATTTTTCTTCTTTCCAAACTAAATACAGTAAAACCTGTGTTATCTAGTACGCTCGGAGATTAGGGCGTTCTGGTTATCTAAAAATTCCGGTTATCTGAGGGTCCCATCAACCTAGGAAAAACCAATGGACAATAATAGTAAAACTCAAGTTTTTAATACTGGTACTTTTGTAGTGTGAGGCAGTTGGTCTCATTCCTATTTTGAGTTAAAGATGATTAGTACTTCTTAAATAAAAAATTGTTAAGCCGATCATGGTAAACCAAGCCAGGCCTGTGTGCCTGAAGTTGTGACAGTATTGTGGCTGGGAGCAATGACAGTTAACTAAGTTGTCTGGTTAACAGAGTTCCGGATAACAAAGGTTTCACTGTAATCCCAGTCTTTTTACACTCTCCTTTAAGCATCTCCTGGTAATACCTCTGATCTGAACCTCATCTCGGAACCAATGTTTCCTCAATTGTACTGCATAAAAGACTTTCAGTAACAACTTCTGGAATGTGTAAACAAGTTATGTCCACGAGTTCCTTTGCTGTTTGCAATGTGGTTGTAGCCATGTCGGTCCCAGGATGTGAGAGCAAAGACAAGGTGGGGGTGGATGAGGTTTTGTTTTTTTTTAAAGGTAGAGATTACCTCATCCACTTTGTCTCTCTGTGAATGCCTTTCTTGATATTTTGTGGGTGTTTTTAGAGAATATATTTACCAAAACAATGCTGATTTCTCCCCATCAATTTATGCTCTGCTAAATTCTATATTTACCATTTTCTCATCAAGAAATCCCAGAACGCCTGGGTTCATCCTTTCTATTTAAATTAAAAATAGGTACCATAATTGGCCATCCTCTATCCCTTTGCTTTTATAGTAGGCTAGCTGTTCTACCTTTCAGTTATTTTAGGACTTTGATGAGTCCTGGAGATTTATTGCCATCTAATCAGCTTTTTCATTTTGTATACCTTTATCTCCAACAGTGTGAGGATAATCACAAATACACATTTCCCACCTTCCCCCATTCCTGTCATCCTAGTGGGGTTGCAAAAAAATGCAAAAAAATACCGCTGGCTAACTTCTTGTTTCCTCCTTTATATCTAGCTACCCCTAGCTTCTCAATTCTGAGGTATTTCATAGTTGTGTTTGGGTCAACAGCTTTAACCATTTGTTACTTCTAATTTCTTCAGAGTCACAATTTTGTATTTCCTTTAGTAGCATCA